CCTCCCTCCCTCCCTCCCTCCCTCCCTCCCTATACACACACACACACACACACACCAAGAGAGTGATTCACAAACTGTCATGATACACAAACTGCCTTGATGTTTTTTATGTTATTTCATATTACTATTACCATTAAATACCTGGTTCAAAATACAAAAAATAAACAGCATATTGTACATTTAGAATAAGGAAAAAAATATTTTAGGTATCAAATCTACTGAACACCCTGTTTGCAACTTAGTTCCAACTGATAAACCTACAAAACAGTAACAAGCACCTCTACTTGTGATGAAAACTACAGAAATCAAGAAGGAAAAGGGCAAGCAAGTAAATCTGTCCACAGACTAAATATTCTTCCTGCGATTTTATGTCAAACAAAAAAGGAGAGCTTATAGTGTCCAATTGTCCAAAGCTCTAAAACTCTGTTCTTCCCATCGTGACCTCCAAACTAAGAAGAGGAAGAGATTGGGGGCGGGGGGGGGAACTTCATTGCCTTGTGTGCAAAGATTAAGGTGCTCCAGATGTGCAAATGTTAGAGAATGGACCAAATAGGCAGAAAGCAAATTCCAGCCACCTCGGGAAATATTGAGCAACATATAAATGCAGGCTCTGCAAATAGCATGAGATTGTGGGAAGGAGGGGGGAAAGCTTTGGCAGATATATCCACCCTTAATCCTCCCAGGATACCTCAAGAGGGACATTTGCTCAAGAATGCAAAGCACATACACACGCAGAAAGAATGGGCTGGAAATTAGTGGAGCCAAATATCAATTCACAGCCGTATAGAGCATCCCATCCAATAGAAAAAAGAGGCTGCAGTCATTTGCTAGCAAATCATCCCATTCAGAGTAACAGAATGGATTCCAGCATCTCTTTTTCCCTTGCTTTTAAATCCATTATTGAGATTCACTGAGTCCCAATAAAAGCTAAAGTAATTCCAATCAAATGCAGGCCAGAAGGAAATTACTTCTCATATATGCCCCGAACCCTAAAATGGTCATCAGTATGGCGATTCATTGTACCAATAATACACATTTTTCCATCAGTCCTGTGGCTGCTAATTAGCAAAATGTCATGTTGCCATAGACTCACTGAGGTTCTATCATATTCTGCCCAAAACTGCTCTTCGTTTCAATTGGGTTTGTCAAGGGTTCCCATTCTGCTGTTACGAATAATTTTGAAGCCTATGCCATTTGTGATGGCCAAACCACCTTACTTCGTGACACGGCTATCCTTCAATGCTTCTTCTATGCTTGGCTTGCAAATGGCAACCAAGTGGAAACTGCTGAGAACTCCATTATTCCCAGGCCAGCTGTTTCACTTAACTTCTTAATCTACATGAGCAGACAACTCAACATGACACACACAGACACATGTGCTCATAATTAAAAGGAGAAACAAACCCTTGAACTTGGTTTTTGTATAGTTTTCTACAACAAACCCTGGGGTTGGGGGGTGGTCCAGGAGCATTCTTCGAAACTGCCATAATCATGGTATTGATCTAGCTTTAATTGTGTTCAGCATGGTTCATTCTTCTGTTTCTCCGTGTGATTGCTCACTCATGAGACTAGGAACAGGATATTCACATGGAGAGGCAAATAAATGTGAGAACTGGGTATTGGTGTGTAATTCTTCTTGTCGTCTGTTCCCTTGGCAGTATCTGATTAGGGTCATATTTTAAAATCTGACTAATAATATAAAAGGCAGACCGTCTAACCAGGCCTTTTTCTTCACTGTGATTTTGTATCCAGTCTCGAACTGAATGCCTTACGGAGTTAAATAATTCGAGACAGCAGGGCAGTATAAAGTATAAATTACAGAAAGCAATGGAGTAAAGAGATTGTATGTTGAATAAATTAAAGCTTTCAGTTGCGAGAGCAGTAATGAGTGAGGAAGAATTAGGAGCCATGGAGGCAGTAGGACAATGGAGTCATTTTAAACTCTGGTGGGAAACTGAGAGCACCTTCGGTGTTGAACTGAATTTACAGTCTCAAACCAATAAAATTTTGGTGTTTATTTTCTGAGTTATTAGTTATTAACATTTAAACAGTATTATTAAAATGTGTTGACAAGCTTTTGCCCTGCCCCTGATTTTACATCTCAGTCCCATCCTTTCAAGTCCCAAAAAACAAAACAATCAATAAAAAAAAATAATGATAGGATCTTAAGCAACAGGCTAAAGGACTTAAAAAGCTTTTGTGACTGCCCTTAACATTTGTAGGAGGGGTACTGCTACAGTGACTGTGAAAATCCTACCAAATTGATCGTATCATAAATGTGGAGAGGATGGAAATTGTTTACCTTTTATTCATGGTTTGGAGGAGTTTAATTTTTTTAAAAAACTGTCCAATCAATTTTGCAACTGATATGAGTGCTCTTTCTTTCTTTCTCTCCTCAAAATGGTGAGGAATAATGTCATTGTTTTTCAATAGTCATGGCTGGAGAAGACTCTTTGCCCTACAAGCAAAAAGAAGGCTTGGGGGATTGGCGGAATGCAAGTTGCTCTCTATTGAGCAAACCAATATGCAAGGAGGCAAATGCTATGGCAATGCAGAGAAAGAAATTGTCAGGTTCCAACCAAGATATGGGACACATGTCTTAACATGTAGAGATTGGGCTTGCTCTTTAGTTGTCGCATGCTGATTTATTGAAGACACTTTGAAATGAGGGGGGAGGATTGCTACCCTCTCTGAAGACAAGCTCAACGTGCAAAGGGATCTTGATAGGTTTGAATTGTGGGTTAGCAAAATGCAGTTCAGTAGTCCAGGTTTTGCATTTAGGAAAAATCAGTGCATAGATACAAGTCTATAAGTAGTCTAAGAGCCGAGGTGGCACAGTGGTTAGGGTGCAGTACTGCAGGCCACTTCAGCTGACTGTTATCTGCAGTTCAGCGGTTCAAATCTCACCGGCTCAGGGTTGACTCAGCTTTCCATCCTTCCGAGGTGGGTGAAATGAGTACCCAGACTGTGGGGGCAATGTGCTGACTCTGTAAACCGCTTAGAGAGGGCTGAAAGCCCTATGAAGCGGTATATAAGTCTAACTGCTATTGCTATTGCTATTCCCAGCAGTCCTGCTTGTGAGAATGGACCACAGATTAAACATAAGTCACTTGTGTGTTACAACTGCTAAAAGAACTAATGCAGTCTAGCCGACACTAGGCCCAACCTGGCCCCTACCAAATTATAGCATATGAATGAGTCAAGTCATTTCTGCCTTTCGGCTGAAATTAAATAAAATCCAGCTCTTCTACCAAATCCTATGCCACAGAGGGAACATTCAATAGAGGAGAGACGAGCAGAAAGCAGAAAGAAATACAGATACCGGTAGTTAGTAAACTGTAAGTGACCTTGGCTGATCCATAAAAGCTAAGCAGGGTGGGATTTTGTTTTGTACTTGGATAGGAAGACACCAGGAAATCCCTGGGCTGTGAAATGGTCTAGGAAGTCACAAAGCATTCAGGAAAATGGAAAAATTGTGCTTATACTCTTGCCAATGAAATAATAGTCCAAGTAGTCAGCAGGAGTCAAACATGGTTCAAGTGAGACTTTATAATGACTTCTTTGACTCACAGAGGCTATGAATCATCATTACAGGATGCGTTTGTGTGTGCGATGGCAGTACTATCTTAAAAACACCTTCTATTGATTGCAAATTCCCATTTCTGTCTCTATACATTTAATAATCACTTAGCAGCTAGCATGCATTAAGGGAATGGTTCTACCACCACCAGCATCCATGCCTAGGCGGATGTGATGCCAATCTTGTCTAAGATATAAGAGGTGGGTGGGTGGGAATAGCTATTGTTCAAATGGAAGATTCATCACATTGAAATAGTTACAATACAGGAAAAGAGTCAGTCTCGCACATTTCTTTTAAGGAATCAAGGAATGGGAGAAGGCAAGGCTTATCCAAGGTAAGGATTCTGTATCTCTTGCTGTTCATTTCAAGTTTGCTCAGCATCACTATCAGATACATGTCTGTAAAAATGAGGGTAATTCTCTTTCAAAGTCTTCTTTGGCATTTCAGAGTCAATGGCTAAAGCAGAATGGCTGGATGTTTCTGAACAAAAAAACAAGCATATGATCGTTTCAATCACTTTTCCTGCGATTGCAGGCTTGCCTGCCTATCCCTTCTTCCATCTCAAGTTCAGCTCCAAATAAAGTAGATTTATTTTTCCAAAGGAGAAAAGGGAGAGGGATCCTGATCTGAGGAAATCATTGGTATGTTCTGCCAATGATTTCCTTGGACCAGAGTTTCTCTTCCTTTTCTCCTTGGGAAAAGTAAATCTACTTACTTTATTTGGAGCTGAACTTTTTTTTTTTTTTTTTTGCCATTGATTCAAACAAAACAAGAAAAGAAGGAATGTTGCAGTTTATGGTCAGGGCAGTCCCAAAACATGTATTTACTGTCCCAGGATCAGTAACAGTTAAGCTGTTTTATTAGCACCTCACTCTAAAGTAAACAAATGAATAAAAAATAAAGAACAAATAATGTACTGCATGACACCAAACATCTGTCTGCTCTGAGTATCGGTATCTATGCTAGAGACGTCTTTGTAACAAGATGATGTAGGTAATGCTAAAGTTCTTCTCTCAATGAATAATAAGTCGAGGAACACTTTTTCAACTACCCAAGCTGTTTCAAAGCTACATTTTCATAATACAAATTTAAATCTCAGTCATACTGCCAGAGTGCATATGAATATTATTCTAGAGATTATGCGGAAGCTAAATTGTCAATTTGATCATTAGTGGCTGCTGTTGTCATTCACTAACACAGATTAAAACTTTAGTTTACTGCTTTTCCCATTTAAAAACACCTCTCACAAAAAAGCAGTCTCTAGTTCAGTCAATTTTCCAGTAACAACCCTTTTTAAATCACCTTTCATCCATTCGTATTCCAACATAATATAGAATATACACAATAAATTACAAAAAAACTAACACAATTCAATAAAGCACTTTGCAATCTAATAACATCTAGACAGATGAGGGGATGAAATCAATTAAAACGTCTGTACAGATAGATACAATTTAAAATAGCATCTAAAATATTGCAATGTAGACAGGCTTTCTTCTTCTGAAACCATTGTTGAAATAACCTACTTTTGAAGAATACTGGAAAATCCAGTTGGAGCAAAACTAACTCTAAATTTAAATCCTGGGTATCAATTGTTTATTTTTATTTTCCAGCTTCATTTAAGATGTTGGTTTTAACCTTTAAAACTTAAATCCCAGCTACCTATGGGACCACTTCACTCCTTATGAATCAATCAAGTTATTAGACTCTGTATGGCAAGCTACTGTTATTTACAGCACTGGATAATTGCTTAATGTATATTTCACACTTTGTGATGTTACTGTTTCATATATTAAAAAAATGTTTTTCTTGCAGGATGATTTTTTTTTAAAATGTACATTTAAGGCAACTAAATTGTTTTTGGAATACAAAATGAAATATTCAAAAACATTCACAGGAAAGAATGAAAGATGCCATGCAATAAATCTAACAATCTATCACCAGCCTATTTTCTCTCTATGGTAGTCCTCAACGTACGACCAATGATATCAAAATTTCTGTTGCTAAACGAGACAATTAAGTGAGTAGTACCCCATTTTATGACCCCTTTTGCCACAGTTGTTAAATGAATTGCTGAAGTTAGGAAGGAAGGAAGGAAGGAGAGAAGAAAGAGAAGAAAGG